GATTCCCACATGGGCCAGTGAGCTGCCCCAGAGCTGAGAAGCTGCTGAGCTGCCAACAGGTAGCAGGATGGCTCAGCTGGTGAGAGCACATGCTCCTAATAACAAGGCAGCCGGTTTGACTCCCACATGGGATGGTGGGCTATGCCCACCTACAACTAAGATTGAACACTGCACCTTGAGCTGAGCTGCCGGGAGCCGCCTACAGGTGGGTAGCTGGACTTGGAGCTGAGCTGGCTGTGCCCTCCACAACTAAGATTGAAGGACAACAACTTGGCTGTTCCCAATTCCCAATTCCCAAACACTGTTCCTCTTCCCCAATTCCTCCCCCCACCCCCAACAAAGGACAACATTGGTATTTTCTTTAGAAATGCAAAACACATTTTAAGGAAAAACACAGTGAAACGACTCCAGGTGTGCATTTCCCCTATTCTGTGGGGGACTGGGGTTTTATTGTTTGGGGTCGGTAAGGTGGCAGAGGGAAGGGAAGGAAAGCAATCAGTTACTGTGCACTCCAGGGTAGGTGAGAATATCTAATGCACCCACTCCCGCTAACCCAGCAAGCGGAGAAATTTAAGACATGCTTCTCCGCCCCGCCCGGCGCGACCCGCACCCCCCACCCCGCCAAGCAACGCCTTCCGCCTGCTTCCCAGGGCAGGATCCCCAACACCAGACTCCTACCTTGCGCGGGTCCGGAAGCAAAGAGCCCACTCGAGGTCGAGTCGCGAGCCACGCAAACCCTGGTCTCCGCCCGAAGCCCGGGATCGCGAGACGCCACTCCCGGAGCCAAATTCAAACTGCCCGCCGGGACCCGGGGCCGCGCAGGCGCACTTAGGCGCTCTCGGAACGCTGGCTGAGACCGCAATCGGTGCCGCGTCATCCGGGGCCACAGCTGGGCGGGCCCGGGGGCACGACTGGGGCGGGGAAAAGGCGAGGCTTGGTCGGCTTTGTTGCAAGAAAGCTGCGAGGTCCGGCGCTCTTCCTACGCCATGCCGTCACGGGTCAAGTCAGTCGCCCAATCCTGATCGTCGCCCAGCCAGGAGTCAAATGCTCCGGGGATCAAATGGCGAGCTACAACGGTAGGTCTCCAAATCAGAATCACCAGGGGCTGCTTTCACAAATTCCAGTGCCTAGGCCGTACCCCAAATCAATGATATCAGGTACTCTTGAAGTGGGGCCCATGATATTTTTTAAAACACCTCAGGTAATTCCAAAAAAGCAGCCACTTCTGTGAGCTAAAAGACCTGTTTCCGTGGAACGTACAGCCCTCTGTAAGGGCAAATACAAATGTACGGTAAGAAAAAGTTTAATTCTCCCTGTTGAACAAAAGGGTAAAGTATCCCAGAGCCGGTGTGGCAGCTCCACAGTCATCAAGTATGCAGGTTCCTTTCATCTTTTGGTGCCTCATTTCAAAGCATCATGCATAATGGCCTTCAGGTTGCCTGCGTGCAAGATGATCCTGCCAATTGCTTCCGCAGGTGTTTGTCCCAGGCGGCAGAAAGAGGACGAGGCAAGGGTAATAGGCTCACCTATCAGCTGAACCAGCATCTTTAGAGTTTTCCTGGAAGCCACACCCAATGGCTTCTATGTCTGCTTTCATTGGTCACTCACATTTACAAGGGAAACTGAAAAAAAAAAAAAAGATCATTAAAAATTAGTTAACCTGGACAGTTAGCATTGCATCCTCAACAATATAGGGGTTCAGTTTGTAAGGGAAAATGAGAGCATGGATTCTGGGTAGGCAATAGCAGCCTTGGACATTTCTACTTATTACTTAAAAAAATCTTTTATTGAAGTAAAACACATAAAGTTAGAAAGAATAGTATAATGAACCCCATGCCCAACCCATTACCCAGTTTCAACCATTATTAACTTATTGCAAATCTTGCTTCATCTGTACCTTCTACTGGAATATTTTGAAGCAAATCTTAAGCACAGCATCTTTTCATCTATAAATATTTCCATACTTATCTCCTAAACATAGAAACTCTTTAAAATATACCATATTAGTATTATTAGGGGTAACTATTTTAAGTTATTCCCGAGTAACAAATATCCGGTCAATGTTCAATTTCCCCTGAAAAAATGTTTCTTTTAAAAACAGCTGGTTTAGGGCCGGCTGAGTGGCTCAGTTGGTTAAGAGCTCGCTCAAGAGTTTGAGCTCTGAGCAACAGCGGTTCGAGTCCCGGCCCGAGCTGAGCAGCTGNACTCGATCAATGCCTTTATTTTGTCATCATCAACCTCGGTGGGCCTCCCTGACCGAGGAACATCATTGAGATCAAAGTCACCAGCATGGAATTTTGTGAACCATCATTGGCACTGACGTTCTTGTAGAACATTGCCACCGTAAACTTTATGCAACTTTTCACATGCTTGACACGCGTCCGTCCCTTTATGGAAGCAAAATAGTAAAATATGGCAAAAATGCAGTTTGGTCTTCCATCTTCAACTTGTTGTAAAATCTCCAAAACTCAACCAAATCGCTCAATTGTTTTTTAGAATGCAGCTAGAACGGTCAACTGTCAAATGACATAGAAATAACATAGATGTGAATGACTCTAGTACTTCCAGAAATGAACTAGTGCCATCTGTTGCAAACATGCGTCATGGCTTTTCCAAAGACCCGATAGTATAGAAGAGAAGGGAGAGGTTAAGTACAAAGTGTCTCCTGAGTCTTTTGTTGCTGGCAAGTTCCTTCACTATAATAAAACACCTAGAAATACTAGATAAAATAAACAAACACCCTTCTACAAACAAGCACAGCTGAGCTTTCATGAGAATGAGGTAAATTCCCAAGGGCTCCAACCTGAAGAAAGAACCACAGACCGGGCACTATGTGTAAGGTGATACTGCAGCAGTCCTAATCTGGGGGTGGGGGGTTTGGAGGGAAACTGAGAGAGGTTGTCAGTCTCAACAATCTAATTTATTTGGTTTTAATGGAGATCAGAGCCAAGGTTTTGGGACTTCAAAGCACAGGGTGTTGGAAGTGAGAATCCCATATGAAGCCAGGACCGCTGTTCATGGGATATATGTCCAGTTGAAGTATAAACCTGAAAATTCTAATCACTGGCCAGGGAGATATAAGCTTATGTTTTGGACTGGCCCTCAGGTATGTGTGGGAGGTGGGAGAGAGTTCTACTTCAGAATTTGTAATAGAGGTTTGGGATTCATATTTACACTATCCACACCATTAACGATCCCTAAGTGCAGAAAGTAACATAAAATGTCACAGGGGGTGATACCCCGGGGGTGTCTGACAGAAACAAACA